GGACATTAGAACTGATCCAAAACACAAAAATGTTAATTAATTAACTTATGTTTCTTTATAGATTAACATTTATGGGCTAAAGGAAAAGATCTTTGTTCATTTTTTTAAAAGATTTTTAAAATTTATTTGAGAGAGAGAGAAAGAGAGCACAAGCAGGGGGAGTGGCAGGCAGAGAGAGAGGGAGAAGCAGGGAGAAGACGCATAAAGATACGGGAGAGATCTTTATGAAAAAAGAGCAGTCAGATTTCTGGAGGATAGTTTATTTAGAGTGTGGTGTTGGCAAAACAAAGATTTAGAGCAGTTGTTCTACACCTGTTTTGAGTCACAGACTGCTGAGGGGATATTATAGAGTCTTTTCAGAATTGTGTGTGTTCCCCATTTTCTTCCCCCAGGTGTTGATTGCTAGAAACTGCCTTTTTCTGGTTATTTCTATCAGCAACATAATGAGAGTTTTGGTTGCCATACATCTTCATGTCTCTTTACAGTCAGTAGCTGTCCCAACCACTTTTTTTGACTTGTGTTGTAATAAATTAGTTTTGCCAGTTCTAGAACTTCCTGAAGTCCAATTGTAGAATATGTACTCCTGTGTTTGGGCATATTTTATTTAGCATAAGGTCTGTGCGATTCATCCTCATCTCATGTAACCATGGTTTGTTCTTTTTTATTGCTGTATACTAGTCATTCGTATAAATAAAAGACCATTTAGTTTGCTTATCTTTTCACCTGTTGATGGACGTTTGGATCATTTCCAGTTTTTGACTACTGTGAATAATGTTGCTAAGAACATTTTTGTTATGAAAGAGTTAATGCAGGGAGCGCCTGCGTTTTTTAGTTGGTTAAGCATCTGACTTTTTTTTTTTTATAGATTTTATTTATTTATTTGAGAGAAGAGAGAAAGAGAGCATGAGTGGGGGAGAGGAACAGAGGGAAAGGGAGAAGCAGACTCCCAGCTGAGCACAGAGCTGGATGCAGGGCTCGATCCCAGGACCCTGAGATCATGACCTGAGCCGAAGGCAGATGCTTAATGGACTGAGCCACCCAGATGCCCCATGCATCGGACTCTTGATCTCAGTTCAGGTCTTGATCTCAGGAGGGTTGTGAGTTCAAGTCCTGCGTTAGGCTCCACAGTGGGCGTGGAGCCTACTTTAAAAAGAAAAGAAAATAAAGAGTTAATGCAAGACACCTGAGCTTGTCACTTACCATATACTTTCAGGTTGTGTGGCTGACCCTTGACTAACTCCTGTGAACCTAGCCCTTGGATGTACTCTGTGTTACTAATTGATAAGGTGGTTTTGTATAGCTGAGTATGGAACCTTGCAGTACCAGCTTGTTCAGTTGTGCAAAACGTATGATTTTCAGTCAATACTTGCTTTCCTGCTTTGGGTCTGTAGTTTTGGTATCATAGCTGGTCACTCAGGCAAATGTCCGTATTTTACAAGTCCCCAGTAAAAGCCCTGGACTCTAACTCAGGCAGGCTTCTCTGGGCAGAAACCCTTTGCATATGTTGCTGCTCTTCATTGTCAGAGGAATAGAATTGTTGGATCATGTGGTAGTTGTATATTTAACTTGGTAAGAAACTACTAAACAGTTTTCTATAGTGTTGTGCCACTTTACACTGCCTCTAGCAAAGTATGGGACTGTCAGTTGTTCTACATTCTTGATAACACTTGGTATTGCCAGTTTAATTTTAGCCATTCTTTTGGATATGTGTATCTCATTGTGGGTTTAGTTTACATCTTCATGACTAATGATGATGAGCACCTTTTAAAATGTGCTTTTGGCCATTTTGTATCTTTGGCTAATATCTTCTATGGTGAAGTATTTGTCTTTTGTCCACTTTAAAAAATGGATTATTTGTATTTTTTGAATTATAGGAATTAATTTTTTACTTGTTCTGCTAATTGACTATGATGTTAACTATGAAACTTACAAGATCATTGATGACACAAGTTCCCGAATACCAGGAATGTTTATGAAATAGCCATAGGCTCTTTGGCCAGATGAAGGCCTAGGCTATCAAGTAGTAGACATAAGCAACATGCTGAGAGTGAAGCCAAACATTACTGGATCAAAATTTCTGGGATATGGCTATCAGCTCATTAAACTCTGTTATGCTCGTTTAGGGTTTCTCCTGTTCTATACAAATTATTTGATCATTTTAATCATAATATTAGGATGGTATTTAGAGTGATTTATAGTCCTGTCCCTTTTACTTTTAATTTTTAAAAACTTATTTTGGTTACATTTTTGAATATATGTTTATTTCCATTGGCTGTTAGACTTATAATAGAAATATTAATACTAACTATTGCTGGCCCTTGAACAACACAAATTTGAACTGTGTTGTGTCCACTTAATGTGGATTTTTTCTAATAAATTCAGTATAATACTGTAATACTGTAAATGTATTTTCTCTTCCTTATGATTTTCTTAACATTTTCTTTTCTCTTGCTGACTTTAAGAATATGGTATATGATACATGTAACCTACAAAATACGTGTTAATTGACTGTTTTTGCATGTTATCGGTAAGGCTTCCAGTCAACAGTAGGCTGTTAGTTAAGGTTTAGGGGAGTCTAAAATTATATGTAGATTTTTACCTCTGCAGGGACTTGGTGCCTTAGCCAACTTCAGGGGTTAACTGTACTCTGTGTTTTGTATAGGAACACCAATATTCATTACCTTTAAAGATTTACTATCATTATTAGTTTCTCATAATATTAAAAGACTACATGCATTTCACTAAATATGTGTAGTGCAAGAATTCAGTTTGCTGACAATTATTTTATGATTGGTCAATAAAAATTACCTTTTTTTTTTTTTTTTTAAGATTTTATTTATTTATTTCACAGAGAGAGACAGCGAGAGCAGGAACATAAGCAGGGGGAGCGGGAGAGGGAGAAGCAGGCTTCCCACCGAGCAGGGAGCCCGATGTGGGACTCAATCCCAGGACACTGGGATCATGACCTGAGCCGAAGGCAGACGCTTAACGACTGAGCCACCCAGGCGCCCCAATAAAAATTACCTTTTACCTTTCTATTGGTTATTTAGGGCTTTGTTTGCTGAGTTGTAGCTATGCTGCATTTAATGGGGACTGTTTCATACGTGGCCTCCAGATAAATGAGATAGTACTAGCAAGTATTAAGATCATGTTTAAAAATTCTATAACTTATATAATCATTCCTTCTAACAGAATAAGTATTTGAAGTTATACATTACTAACAAATGCTTTTTTTTTTTTTAAAAGGAGTATAATAACTATTATCCTGTGATTGTTTTATATAATTACATGATCACTCTTTCCATGAACTTAGGCACATGCAAATAAATGTAAATTCACAGATTTTTATTTTATTATTATTAATTTATTTATTTTTTAAAGATTTTATTTATTTGAGAGAGAGAGAGGGGGAGCACAAGCAGGGTGAGGAACAGAGGGAGAGGGAGAAGCAGACTCTCCTCTAAGCAGTGAGCCCAATGTGGGGCTTAATCCCAGGACCTTGAGATCATGATCTGAGCTGAAGGCAGACACTTAACTGACTGAGCCACACAGGCGTCCCTTATTTTTTTATTTAAAAAATTTTTTTAATTTATTTTTTTTGAGAGAGGGAGAAAGCACGTGCACTGGGGTGGGGGATGAGAGGGGTAGAGGGAGAGAGAGAAACTTAAGCAGGCTTCACACCCTAGGTGGGGCTCCCATCTCAGGACCCTGAGGTTATGACCTGAGCAGAAATCAAGAGTTGGTCGCTTAACTGACTGAGCCACCTACGTGCCCCTTCACAGATGATTTTAAAAGCACTTTTTTTAGGTTTGTGAAGCCTCAAAAAGTTGTTTATTCTGTTTTCTTTTTTTATTGTTAAATATACTTTGGCTCTTCAAATTTTAAGTAATACATTGAATTAAAAAATATTTTGACTACTGGGTCAAAGTATCTCTAATATTATTTTAAAGCATATAAATAGTAATTCGTATCAGTTAACTTTGAATCTGATTTTACTCTTTTACCATTCTTACCTTTTCTTGGTCTTGATTTGTATAAGATCAGTTTTATAACACTACATATTTTAAACTTAGATTGGGGAAATTATTTGTACCAAAAGGATAGTATTGTATATATAACTATTTCTTTAACTTGAGTGACTGGAAAATGTGTCAACTTCACTTGATTTTAAGTTGGAAGGAATACAAAAGTTAACGCTCATTTATTTATTTTTTAACGATTTTATTTCTTTTAGAGAGTCAGAGTGAGCGAGTGTGCGTGCACGAACAGGGGGAAGAGCAGAGGGAGAAGGGAGACAAGCAGACTCCGTACTGGGCGTGGAGTCCCTCATGGGGCTCGACCCCACAACCCCGAGATCATGACTTGAGCTAAGTCCAGTCAGTCACTCAACTAACTGAGCCAAACAGTCGCCCCAAAAGTTAATGTTCATTTAAATGAGTTGGTTCATAGGAAGTTCTTGCATTGTGTTGAGTATGTAGGAAGAGCTCAGGTATTAGCAGCTACACTTGTTATAGGCATAATTGTTTTATTTTTATTATTTTTATTTTTTTATTCATTCGAAAGACAGAGATAGAGAGAAAGAGAGAACACGAGCAGGGGGAGAAGCAGAGGGAGGGGGAGAAGCAGTCTCCTCGCTGAGCAGGGAGCCCAACACGGGGCTCGATCCCAGGACCCTGGGATCATGACCCAAGCCGAAGGCAGATGCTTAACCATCTGAGCCACCCAGGCACCCCTATAGGCATAATTGTTATCATTATTGCTGAAAATTGCCCCATGGTTAACTTGATTTATGATCTATCTAATAGTGCTGTTGATTTCTTGGGGCAGGGATCAGAAAAGGCTGATTGGGATATTACATATAAACATAGAGTTATGTGTATAGGGATCAGATGGGGGAGTGAATTTGGTATGTAAATGTGAATTTGGTAAGTTAATTTGTATGTTAATATACACACACGTAAGTATACATATAACAGTTATTAAGTTTATATGTATTCAGTAGAACTCAGCTTATTATTTCTTTCCACAGCTTTATATTCTGTTATATTATTCTGTGTGTTTTTCTGGATCCCTTTTGTCTACTTCTACTATGAAGAAAAGGATGATGATGATACTAGTAAATGTACTGTAAGTATGTTTATTTTAGGGGGGAGGAGGAAAGATTATTTCCTTTCTCAAAGAATGACAGGACTTTGAATTTATTCTAGAGCAGCGTTGTCTAATAGAAATACAATGTGAGCCAGATGTGAAATTTTAAATTTTCTTTCTACTTATTAAAATAAGTAAAAACGAGCAGTTGAAATTATTTTTAATGATACATTGCATTTAATGTAATATGTTCCAAGTATTATCACTTCAAAGAATCAATTTGAACTAGCCATATTTCAAGAGCTCAGTAGGCACATGTGACTTGTGACTATTGTTTAGACAGCAATTCTAGAGCAGGGATTGGCAGACTTTTTCTCCAAAAGTCCAGGTAGTAAACATTTTAGGCTTTGTGGGCCATATAGTTTCTGTCTCAGCTACTCACCTCTGCTGTTGTACTGTGAAAGTAGCCAGAGATAATACTTAATGAGCTTGATGTGATCCAGTAAAATAGGAGGTGGGCTACATGTGGCCCACAGGACAGTCTGCTGACCCCTATTGTAGGGCATAAAGAAGGAACACTTGCAGACTATTTTTACTAATCCAGGATAACACTGATATAAAAATCTGATAAATATAACATACATGCATGTCCAAAACTTCAGACCAACATCACTTAAGTATTGGTATACAAATCTTAACTGAAATATTAGCAAATTGAATTCAGAGGTATCTTAAAAATATATTAATATAGTATAACTGAGTTGGGCCTATCTCTAGACTGCATGGGCAGTTTAGAATTGGCACATCTGTTAATATATAGTCATTTAATAGGTTAAAGAAGAAACTGTATGTTGAAAGGTATTTGCTAAAATTGAACATTTTTTCTAATTTAAGGGGGAAAAGGAGCATAAAAGGAATGTCTTTTTATTGAGTTACAGGAATTTGTTTTATACCTTTTTTATGTTTTGTATTTAAATACAAATATACATATATATATAGCTTTCACTTAAAAGCCAGCATTATTCTTAATCATGTTTATTAAAACCTTAAAGTATTTGCATTAAGATAAGGAGCAAGTACATAACAATATTTTAAGTGATTCCAAGTGGTAATCAGTACAGTTTATTAGAGAAAAAAATAAGATGTTTAAATATTTATAAAGAAAGTCAAAATTAATTATTTGCAGATACTTATGTAACTCTGTATTTGTAAACCCAACATATATAAGGTAAAGTGGGTGGCTAGGAATTTAATGTTAAAAATGGAATGAGATACATGCTTTCTCTTTTCACTTCTTCTAAGTTCATCTTTCCCAACTCTTTGGTGGATCTTAAAATCCTCCTCAACCTTTATTTTAGGTTTTTTCCTAAAGATTGTCTTAACTCCTTTGTGAAGAATTTGTCATATGAAGCATGAATTTAAATTTTAAAAGGTGACTTTTAGAGACTTCATTAATCTGAGAGACAAATATAGGTTTTTTTTGTTGTTTTACTGATTTAACCTTTTTTTTTGAGGTTAACTTTTCTTTCTATATTTAGAATATTCAGCTTTGTGTTTGTCTTTGGATAAAGATAATGATAAATGTTTTATATATTTATATGTTCTATATATATATTTTTTATTTTATATAAATATAATATACATTATATATAAAATATGTACATATATACACACATGCATGCATATTGAGTATTTATTGTACTTATTATAACCCATTTTAATGAATTGGGGGAGGGGTGTAATAGATTCTGATTGCTTCCTGTTTAGGGGAATATATTAGTAAATATTCTGATAATTTTACTAATGATTATGCCCACTGAAGAATTGGTTATGCTTTTGAGTACTGATTTCCATAAGGGCTAATCATTGAAAAGACTTTTAAAGTCTAGTACGGTTTGCAAAGAAAACTTATGATGTGGCATTACATTGTTTTTCCTTAAATTTTAAGATTATTTTTCAACAAGGAAATTTTACACAAATTTACATTTGATGTGAAAGTACTGTTACACTGTAGCAAGAATATTTTATATTTTATTTTTTAAGACTATTGTATATTTTAAAGGTCTTAGTAAATGGTATACTTTTTTCCCTTGACTTCCAGCAAATTAAAACGGCATTCAAGTATACTTTGGGATTTGCTGTAATTTGTGCACTTCTTCTTTTAGTTGGGTAAGTCTTGATTTTTTTCCCCCTGAAAATGGAAATAATATAATAATAATAAAGGCTCATTTAGAAAAATCTAGGAAAAAAATGTAAGAAAAAGAATAAACCACCTTTTATATTGCCACGAAGCAATAGCCACAGTTAACTTTTTTATATATGTTGTTCTACCTAGACATTTTATGTGCTCAGATACATGCAGAGTGCTCTCCCCCCATACATATACCCTCCATGTTATAATTTTACACAAATGTGATTTTATTTTATGAATTCTTGATAATCTACTTGCTGACATACTATTGGCATCTCTTTAGAAATAGTAAATGTAGTTTCATCAATTTTGACTGTATTGCATTTTCCTTTTAGCATACAACAGTTTAATCTTCTAGTGATGATTACTTGGACATTTATGATGTTTGCAGTTTTTCCATTTTTATCAACAGCTCTTTGATGAAACCTTTCTGTGCATCTTTTCAGATTTGGTGCATCAGTCTTTAAATTTTTGAATTAATCTTTGTCAGTGAGTTCCTTTCTTAAATCTTCTTCCTTAAGGTTTTATATTAATATCAATAAAGTTTTGCATATTTTTTTATACATTTAACATTTTCTCTTTGGAAAACATTTGTCCTTGTTAATGGAAGACATTTCTCCTTGTTAAAAAGGTTTTGATTTTTGTTTTTTCTTTTGTTTTTTTAGTTTAGGAAGTATGTGAGGTGCTAATAAGCTTTTAAAAGGTCCTTTTTATAATTTGGTCTCAGAAATTTCAGTAAATAGCTTACCATCTCTACCATCATCCGGTTTAGTCATCCAACATGAAGAAATGAAGATGAAATTCCAGCAATAAGAAATGAACAAAAGAGTGGAACTGAAGACCTTAAGTGCTTGCTTTTTGCCCACTGACCAGATAAATAGAACTATCTGCATTATCTATGCAGCATGGGGTTTTTATTATTTTTACCTAAAGACGTCTCTTTTTGGTAATGACAAACGTGTTTTTAAAAAAAAAAAAACAAAAACCTGGTTTTTCTCAATACACCTTTAAAGGTTTTTAAATTGTTTCATATCTGGTCAAGTTGAGATTTTTAAGAACCTATTTTTAATTTGTAATTAAAGTTTACAACTTGATTTTTTCAAAAAAATCAACAAATGGCAAGCACCCGTTAATAAAGGTCTTAAATAATTTAAAAAAAGGGCGCCTGGGTGGCTCAGTTGGTTGAGCGACTGCCTTCGGCTCAGGTCATGATCCTGGAGTCCCGGGATGGAGTCCCGCATCGGGCTCCCTGCTCGGCAGGGAGTCTGCTTCTCCCTCTGACCCTCCTCCCTCTCATGTACTCTCTCTCTCTCTCATTCTCGCTCTCTCAAAAATAAATAAATCTTAAAAAAAAAAAAAAAATTAAAAAAAAAAAAAAAAAAAAGAAATTTCCGTAAATAAAAAAATGACATTTATCGAATACAATTTGTGGTAGAATAAAATTGGTCAGTAACCTTTTGTGGTTCTAGGACTTCTTGGAATACAAATGCTTTATAATCAAGGCATATTCCCAGTACCCTTTGTCTGCCTTGACGTGTCATGAAAAAAGAGTATTTATTGAAAGGACAATTTTTTTTAGTACTTTTTCTATTTAGCTATTGAATATATATATATATTTTTAAAGGTTTTATTTATTTATTTATCAGAGAGCGAGAGAGAGAGAGAAACAGCATGACAGGGGAGAGGGTCAGAGGGAGAAGCAGCTCCAAGGGAGCCCGATGCGGGGCTTGATCCCAGGACCCTGGGATCATGACCTGAGCCGAAGGCAGTCGCCCAACCAACTGAGCCACCCAGGCGCCCCGCTATTGAATATATTTTTAATTCTCTTTTGGCTTTTTAAAAAAGACAGTTATGTGAATTTGCTTTTGTTAATGTGAAGGTCTCTCATTTAGAAACCTAAATTATCTAGAAGAGAGGTCAGTAAACTTTTCTTAAAGGGTAGTTAATATTTTAAGTTAGAGGTCCATATGGTCTTTGTGGCAACTCCTCAACTCTCTTGTACCTTTCTAGTAGTCATGGACAAGATGCAAACAGAAGGACATGGCTGAGTTCTAATAAAACTTTATTTACAAACAGTAGTTTGTAATCTCCTGATTTAGAATGTGGCTGAGAACCATCAGTAAAACCACAAATCTTTATGGCAGCCAGAGTATCTGTCCTAGACAAAAGGTGTCTGGGGATATATTTGTAAATTTATTTGTTCTTTTTATGGAGTATTATCTTCAGTCCTCATTTAGAGTTACATTTTGCACAATTCTGATAAAGTTTTTTTTCAAAGATTTTATTTATTTATTTGTGAGAGAGAATGAGAGACAGAGAGCACGAGAGGGGGGAGGGTCAGAGGGAGAAGCAGACTCCCCGCCGAGCAGGGAGCCCGATGCGGGACTCGATCCCAGGACTCCAGGATCATGACCTGAGCCGAAGGCAGTTGCTTAACCGACTGAGCCACCCAGGCGCCCCAATTCTGATAAAGTTTTAACAGATTCTTTAGATGACATTTATTTATTTAGAAGCAGTATACTAAAAGTTAAGCAAATGTTTCCTTGCAAATACACTAGTAACAAGAAGCAACAGTTTGACCAGCCATTTTGAACAATATAACATTCACTTATTTTCCAAATATTATTATGTACTAGGTATGTTCCAGATACCATACAAGGTGCTGGTGAAACAGCAGTTACCAGAAAAGACAACTCCTTCTCTTCAGGGAGCATGCATTCAAGAGAGGTTTAGAGCGGAGGCAGAGAAAGAAAATAAACAAAAGGGTTGTGTTGAGGTTGTGAAATGTTAGGGAAGACACTGATGAGAAGGTGGTATTTGAGAAGGTATTTGAAGGAAGTGAGGGAGCCATGAATATATGTGGGGGGAAGAGCATTCCAGTCTGAGGAAACAACAGATGGAAAACCCTGAGGCAAGAAATTATCTGGCATATTTAAGACAAAGCGAGGAAACTAGTGTGGCTGGAGTAGAGCGAATGAAGGCTGGAGTAGCTGAAGATATGGCCAGAGGTAACTAGTGCTGCCAGATTTAGTAGGATATAATAGGCCATTGTTAGGACTTTAACATTTATTGTGAGAGAGATGAGAAGCTATCAGGGACTTTTGTCATTAAGCGACATAATCTGACATTTTAACAGGGTTCCTGGATGGTGTTTTAAGATTTGAGTTTATGGGGGTAAGGGTAGAACTATGAGATCTGTGAGGAAGCTATTGTAATAACCGAGGCAAGGCATGATGGTAGAAGTAGTGATTTGATTCTGCCTACCTTTTGGAGAAAGAGCCAGCAGGATATTCTGATAGGATACATAGGTGGGGTGTGTGAGAAAGGTGAATTGAGAATGTACCTGCAGTTGGCCAAACTGCAAAGTCTTAGGAACACTTCTCTCACTTTTGACACCACCTGCAACTTTGGGAGGTTCCTAAAACCACTCTCAGGTTTGATAATTCTCTGGAAGGATTCACAGAAATCACTGAAAGCAATTATACTCATTGTTACCATTTATTATAAGTGAATACAGGTTAAAATCAACCAAAAGAAGAGATGCATAAATAAGATAGAGTCTGGGAGGATTTCAAATATGAACCTTCCATTGTCCTCAAGATATGTTACTCTTCTGGCATTGATGTATGACTGTATGCATGGAGTACTGCCAACCAGGGAAACTCACATGAGCCTTAACACAGAGTTTTTATTGAGACTGTTATTTAGGCAAGTCAGATTGATTGATTGCTCACACAGTTATCTCAGCCTCCAGACAGTGGACTACATATGACCCGAAGTTCTCACCCAAAATCACATGGTTGGTCTTTCTGGCTCACCACTTAAGATGTCGTCAGCTCCTGCCCTAAACAAAGACATTGAGTACCTGCCAGAACCGTGGGCAAAAGTCACACCTCTTTTGGGCAAAGCCAAATTCTTTGCTACACAGAAAAGGGTGAAGTTGTCATCAACTTAGATAGGCAAATCTGAAGGAGGAGCCGGTTTTGTGGGGGAGTATTGGAATCTCAGTTTATTTCATGGTAAGTTTTATAGGCAGTCAGGAAGAGATGATGAGTAAGCCACCAAATCAGGCATTAGGGAAGTCAGAGTTTAGTCACTGCTCTTGCAATAGCAATATCTAGCTCCAATGAGAAAATGAGATTTTTCTTTTGTAAAATGTAAAAGATAAGCTGAAGGATTGCTAAATATTATTCCTTGTGCCACCTCCGGCCTGTCTCAGTATTGCGGTCCTTTTGTAATTGAATTGATGATGTTGGCTCTCAGGTGGATAATAGGTGAGAAGGAATGGCATAGAAAGCACCCATACAGGTGGGAGGCTTTGATTAAGGTGGAAAGATATTTCCTCTGTTGTTATAAGAGCAATAAAAATGAAAAGATGTGCAAGTGGGCTCTTAGATTTTGTGTGCAAATGAAAGAATTCTTCTCTGATTGGCCTCTATTTTCTTATTGATATTTGAGGTCATTAGCTGAGGGCACTGATAGAGGGGAGAGTATGTGGACTCCTGTATTTCACAAGCTGAAATTTGTGAATGAAAGACTAATAATGTTTTTGTTACCCAGGGTAGGGTTCTTCTCATTACCATATTTGAATGAGGTATACATTTAGATTAAGTGATTGACTAAATTTCCTGAAATTTTCTTGAGGGTAACCTACTCCTAGTTTTTGTTAAGTGATGTATGTTTTTCTTTTAAAACAGTAGATAATTTTATGGTAAAAATGTGGTTGAGATTTAACTAATTCATGTAGCTAACATCTTTGGAGCACTTTGTTATGTAGTGTGCAAGGTCTTGGGGATAAAGATGGAGGGTCATTGTCTCTTTCCTCAAGGGTCACAGTGGGGAGAGACATAAATACATAACTTGGACTATAATATTTAAGTGCTCTAATAAGAGATAAATACTAGGTTTTGACGATGGAGTAGCAAGTTCCTAGCCTTGCCTTGAAGAATCAGGGAAGACCTAATAAGGAATGACATTTGAATTGAAATTTGAGGAGTGGAAATTTGTCATCAGACTAAATAAAGAAAAAAGATAAATAGCATGTGAAGTGTATTCATCTTTTTAGAGTGCTGTAAATAACAGACATTTATTTTCTCACAGTTCTAGAGGTTAGAAGTCCGTGGTCAGAATGTTGGCAAGTTTGGTTTCTGGTGAGAACTCTCGTCCTGGCTGCTGCCTTCTTACTGTGTCCTACATTGTCTTTCCTGTGTGCTCTCACTGGGAGAAAGAGTGCTCTCTGGTGTCTGTTCTTCCTAAAGTGACTCAATCCCATCGGACTAGGGTCCCACCTTATTTAACTGATGACCTTCCTAAAGGCTCTATATCCAGATGCCATCACATTGGGGGTTAGGCCTTCAACATAAGAATTTTGTGGGGACAAATTCAGTCCATAACATTCTGTTCTCTGGCCCCCCAAAATTCATGACCTTACTATGTACAAATGCATTCATCCCATCCCAGCAGCCCCCAAAGTCTTAATTGAGCATCAGTGCTGAGTCCAAAATCTTATCAAAATACCACCTAAATCAGGTATCAGTGAGACCTGAAATATGATGCATCCTGAGTCAAAACTCTTCTTTAGCAGTGAACCATTGAAACCAGACAAGTTATGTGCCTCAAAAATAGAATAGTAGGGCAGGAATAGGATAGACATTTCTGTTCTAAAAGGGAGATATTGGAAAGAAAAAAAGGGATTATGGGTTCCAAGCAAGTCCAAAACCTAACAAGGCAAATTATATTAGATCTTAAGACTCAAGAATAATTATCTTTGGTTGGATGCTCTGCTTTCCAGGCCCACTGAGGGGTAGGTGGTAGGGTCACCACCATGGCCCTAGGTAGTGGCCCTGCCCTCTTGGTTCTGGGCCTAGGTCCTGACCCCTCGACTCTTTGTAGCAGTTACCTGGTGGCCACAACTGAGGAAAGAAAGGAGGAAGCAGCCTTGCCCCCTGGGCCTGTGGTGGGAGTGGCAGCCCTGATGATAACTGAATTGCTTTTGGATACTTTTTCTTGAAGGATAAAGCATGTTCTCAGCTAAATAATTCTGTCATCCTGCCCTGTAGAATCCCAAAAATCTCATAGCCTACCTTATTTTGTCCCATCTCTGTTCCCTTTATTTCAAATTGGCAGTGTCCCTGTTAGTATCATCCTACCACTATTCCTGGCTTCTGCTGGATGGTTGATTAAACCCATGGTTTCCACCCTTACTCCTCTCCTTATCAGGTGGTTGTTCAGCCACACTCTTAACACAGGCTTCATCATTCTTTTACAATACAGATGGAGTAGTTCCTTCACCTTACCTCTCTCCTCTCGCATTTTACTGTAAACAGTAAGGAGAAACCATCCTGCTCCTTCAACACTTTGCTTAGAATCCTCCTCAGCTAAATACCCAATTTCATCTCTTAAAAGTTCTGCCTTCCACAGAAACACAAAAACAGTTCAGCCAAAGTCCTTACCACTGTATTACAAGTTATCTTCTTTTAGTTTTCAATAACATGTTCTTTATTTCTAGCTGAGATTTCACCAGAATGACCTTCAGTGTCCATACTTCTACCAACATTCTATTCATGATGATATATGTCTTCTGTAAGACAACAGAGGCTTTCTCTATAACTCTTCTTTTTGAGTCCTCCCTCTTGCCTTTAACATCCATATTTTTATCAGTAGTCTCTTTGTTAAAATACAAAATTCAAACGAGTAAATTTGAAGATCTAGTTGGCTTTATTCAGCAGTTTGTGAATTGGGCAGCATCCCATCTAGCAAGTAGAAAGGAGCTCTAAGGAGTTATGCAAAATGGAAGATTTTTATAAGTAGAAGGAGGTGAGATAAGGAAGTTCAAAGAGGGAATTGTTTCAAGCAAGATCACCTTCCCTGAGGGCACAGCAGAGTTTTTTTTTTTGTTTTTTTTTTAAGCAGTTGTCTGATTGTTCAAGATGAGAACTGAACTAGCTGCCCTTTTTTTAAAGATTTTATTTATTTATTTGACAGAGAGAGACACAGCGAGAGAGGGAACACAAGCAGGGGGAGTGGGAGAGGGAGAAGCAGCCTTCCCGTGGAGCAGGGAGCCCGATGTGGGGCTTGATCCCAGGACCCTGGGATCCTGACCTGAGCCGAAGGCAGACGCTTAA